AAGGACACTGCACACAAAACTCAATAGGTTCATGAAAAAATAAAGGAATACCGCTACGGTGATTACGGATGACTGCATCATAGAGGTGACGGAATTAACCCTTCACTCAGGTTTAATACAACCTCAATTTCGCACAGATGATGGCTAATATTCTCTTTCAGCACTAGAGGGCAACTGTTCCTAATGTTAGACTGAGTGCTATGAAGGAAATAACATTTGTAACCACAGCAGAGTGAGAGGCAAAAATAAACTGCCCTTTCAACTTTTAGAAATTAAAAAAGAAACAAAACAAAGTTTTCGTCAACATAGCATTCTTAAAACTTCGATCGACACTGTGCAGTTTCTTCTTAATGGTAACTATATAACGATCCGGTACACTGACAATACTAATTTTCATTCTCTGGTCTTTGCAAACTTTGTTTCATTAGCATTTTTTATGTTTAATAGAAGTTGCTTGAACGAGTTTAAACTGGGGCCACAGTACAATGCAGACAACCAATATCTAATCATTTCCAAACATAGTTAAGGCTAATTTGCATTATCTGAAAAGTAATTATTTTTATAATTAATAAACTGCTTGCAGTTTTTTTACATTTCATATCAATTTTCACATTCCTTTCTTTAAGTAATTAACCCATACTTAAATGCTTAGGCACCACTGAATCTCTTGAAATGGCTACTTAAAGACTTACATTTTTCTGTTCTACTTAATGCCACATTGCTTACTTTGAAATGCAAATGGTATTGTTATGGTGACAAATCACAACAGTCATTTTACACAGAAAAAATTTCTGTAAATTGAAGATTAAATAAATGACCACATAATCCATTTCAGTGCTGTTGGCTGAGATGAATGTTGGCCAGAAACAAGATTTATGATAAACCACTCTGCAGCCCGGAAAATACCATGCAGATCTCATTCTATGCTAAATACTAAACTTATGTGGCGTAGATCCTGGTGTGGAGCTTAAATCCACAACCTTCTCACTCGGACATATAACCATCACCAAGTGAGCCAAGTTTAACCTTGAATACTGGAACAACTTGACTCTTGATAAATTTATATTTCCACCAGAAAATAATTTCTCTTCAATTATTTGGCATTTTGCTATAGACTCCAATTTTCTTTTACCAAGCTGCTCTAAACTCTAAAGAGTGTTCAGAAACTAATTTCCTCTTCTTATAGAGAAAGCATATTAGCTGATCCAGTCTGAGAAAGATGCAGAGGTTATTTCCTATGACGGGTTAACATTCATGTACTTTATAGCTTACAGTTCGCCGTTCTGCCCACAAAGCCATTGTGATCAACTGCAGAGTGTCTGTATTCTCACTGTTAAGAACAGCTAAAGAGCCCTACCGACATTTAACATACTCTTTACTAAAGTTGCATTGAAGGCAACTTTAATGCAATTCACATAAAACTACATTCCCACTTTCAATTCATGTGTAAATCCAATACAGTAAATGTTTTTATTGTCTAGTTGGTTCCATTAAATATGAAAGTCTCCTTCTGTCAACAGTTTTGTTTTGACAGAGGTCCTTAAGCAATATGATGTACAACACTTGCATAACTGCTGAAACTCATTTATCTGCTATTTTAATGGAAGCATTGACAAATGTAAAGTAAATAGGGGAATAACTAATCTGGAACAGCAGAGGCAACCACTTGAGATAAACAAGTACAAGTTACCATAGTGTATTTTCAGCGTCTTTATGTTTTAATAAGAGAGTTGAACAATGCTACATTGAAACTAATGTTGGCAATAGATGATGTTGTGCTGAAATAGTAGTTCATGGGAGCAAGTTAAAAGATGCCTTAATTATGACAATATTTCTGGTAAATTGGAGAAGAGCTAGGAGTCTTTATTGTCTCATAATGGCATGCAAAAAAAATCTCTCTTTAGATGCAGCTTACATCATCCATTAAAAAAATGTTGGATTGGACCATGCAGGTGACTCAATGTGTTTACGCGTATTTTTAGGCCAGGATTTCTCCACTTTACCCTCCCTCAATTTAAAAAGGTTCCACATATAGTTATCTGAATCTCCCTCTCGGAAGTCCCACTTCAAGCTCTACTCTCGAGACAGTTTTCATCATAAAGAAACTGAATGCCGTAATCAAAAGCAACATACCTGTGATCTGCACTGCCTTTACCCACTTATTCTCACCATCCCACCCCCAGCTCCCACCACACCAGTAGTGTTAACAGCATCCGACATCAAATTTGAAAGGAAAAGAATCAAGTTGAAACTGTGAGGGAAATGTATTGTACTCTGGCACTGTTGACAGATTCAATGGGCTCAGCACAGAGATACTGTTGATCAAAACAGATTACCCCTGGTACACCAAATGCTGTGACATACGCTTTGAGGGTTACTCAGCCAGTTGGAATATATGGTTTGGTACAAATCCTTACACTTTATTCAGATCCCGCAGAATGCTTTTTTTAGGCTTGCAGTCCCCACTTTTGGCTAAACCTATTATTGTTATTACTTTTGGACACTTTAAGCCATGAAAAATCAAATTTGGCTGTGGGTGTTGCACAAATTGGTCCCCAGCCTCCAAAAGAGTGAAGAGTTAAATTATCAATGAGCCACTAGGAACAAACTGTCAATGCATTCAAATGAAGCAACCCCGCAACATTCCAAATGAGCATTATTGTCCAAAATCTGAGGAGCAACCGTATCTTTCCTGACTTATACATGCTGTGCAATAAAGCCATTTGATTGGTGATAACGCCATTGATAATGAAAACTGCCATAAACCAGTCTGTGTCATCATGACGTAAATGGCACATCGCTATTTTTCACCCAAAAGGCAACAATGTCCCATGAAAACTCATGTAACATTCCACGAAGGGCAGGACATGAAGTTCCAAAACAATTTTTAAGGCTATGAGAAATGCTTATTAGGCGGAAAAACACTTAAAATTGCCAAAGAATAGACATGCTAATTTCAATTGCATGGTGCTGCAAAAATTCAAACTTAAAATACAAATATTAAGTATAGAATATAAAGATAATTAAAGCTATTTGAAAGGTATGGTCTTCATAGTTCATGGAATCCCTACAGTTTGGAAGCAGGCCATTTGGCCCATCGAGTCCACAGTGACCTGTTGCAGTGCAACCCACCCAGACTGACCCTATCCCCATAAACCCCCATTTCCCATGGCTAATCCACCTAGCCTGCACGTCCCTGGACAGTACGGTGCAATTTAGCATGGCCAATCCAGCTAAACTGCACATCTTTGGACTGTGGGAGGAAATCGGAGCACCCAAAGGAAACCCATGCAGATAATGTGTAAACTACACACAGACAGTCGCCTAAGGGTGGAATCGAACCCAGGTCACTGCAGCTATGAGGCAGCAGTGCTAACCACTGAGCCATTGTGTTGTCCTTTAGGGAAGACCATCACATTTTCAGGCAACCAGTTGCTACCAATTCAGCAACCAGTTGCCTTATAATAAGGTGTTCTCGCCAGAGTTCCTAGAGGAGTGGTAATGGGTAGTAATTCCTGTCATTGGTTTAAATTCATCAGTTGCACGGGTTTTAGCCATATTCAAACTTGTGGGGGGAAAGGGCAACAGGATCATGCCTTACCATCTGCCTAGTCAGTGCTCTTCGAATATCTTCATAAATTTCCGGACCCTGATCCTTAGCAGGCAAGACTTCAACTATGTTATAATTCATTTTTGGTACATAATCTGTTTTATGATAGGGAGGGGAATTATCCCAATCTCCCAATAATACTCAGACTTTCAGAGGAAAATAAATCTTCAAATATTGTTGTTGGAAATTTTATCTTTCAAAATATGCATATTATCTATCATCAGGATCATAAAACATAATGTGCAGTCTATAAAAGTGTTATTTTCAATAAGGTACCCGACCAGTGTTCTGAAACTGATCACTAAGATAAGGATTATTTTGTTTGAGAAATGTGTGTCAAAATGTACCTGGAGCTCCTAGTAATATATATTACAATAGCACCACTTCAGCAAAGAAATGATTTAAACAGTCTGATTTTAATCATACACCATTTTTGCATTGCCTGAAATCATCTTTTCTAAGCTTCAACACAAAAGAGGATTATGAAGATTTGCTTGCTTTCTGTCATTTTAATATTTCCTCCTGCTGAATCAACAGGAATCAATTGAAGCCGGTGACCATCAAATGCTGTGACAAGCACTTTCAAGGTTACAGACGTGTGTAAAGTGTGGTTTGGTACAAAAGATGTTTGTTTGTCCAAACTGTAGTAACTATGTGCACTGCAGTGCACAATCACTGAGGGGAATGATCATATACTGAATAGCATTAACCATTAAATTTTAAATGCAAACTGTACTTTCTACAATATTAGGCATGTACTTATTTTTCAACACTATATTTTTTGGATTGAAAATTTCGCTGGCCTTTATCTTGAACTTTACACCACTTAAATTGCAGTACCATGAAAACAGTACCATTGTGTTCAATTCTTGAAAATGCGGTAGAATTTAAGTAATTATATATAATTACACTTTCTTAAGAATGCTGCATTTAGGATTGCTAATTAAAAATTAAATAGTGCATTAATGTTATATTAAACATATTTATTTCCTTTTACCTTCTTTCAACTTCACCACTGCAACTGCATTTTTCTATTACATTAAACAAAAGAGGAAAAGTACTTACAAAGGTGTTTAATACAAATAATTCGAGGAAAGCAGAACATCCATTGCTGAGGCACAGTTGCACTGTTTGAGAGATTCAGAGCTCTCCTTTTGTTGCGATGCTGAGATAAGTGATCAACAGCAGTTTCCAAGGTCTTCAGGAAATACCCCAAAGCATTTAAACCTTACACTTAATTATTGAGCTCACCACATTTCACAGCGAAACTGCCACTTTATGCTCTCTGCTCAAACAGCTGCAAATAGAAAGCCCTTAACATCTCACAACTCCAGTGATTTGACGCTTGCTAACTCAGTCACATTCTACACCGTCCCTCTTTAAGACTCACCCAGCTGGAATGATTTAGTGTTCTATTCACGATTATGTTCATTGCAACCTCTTCTTTGACACAAGGATTATAGCAGGGCACATTTTGCAGCAAAACAAGGACCACTTCATCACGAAAGAACAGCAACTGCAGTTATCTCTCCTTCAGTTGAAGCAAGTCTATCGCAGCTACATGGAAGTCAGTGGAAATAGCTGTAAAACAGTATGATTGACAGAAACAGCCAATTCTCCCAGCTAATCATTGTAAAGACCTTCAAGGACTAGGAGCCATTTTGGTGTCATCCAGATAGTGGGTTGTTACACATGAATACATTCTGTTCTGAGCTAATTCAGTGTTCTACTGAATTCCACTCACAGTCAAGTGATTGATTGGAAACTCCCGAAGGATCTTCAGATCTGCCACAGTGCACTTGCGCAAGGAAATGCCATCCTTTCAGCATCAGGCTTATGACAAGCACGGGAGTAAAATATCACATGTTAGCACAGACGCTGAGAACTAAAGATGTCACCAGCAAGTAAACCTTTACTTTATTAAAAGGAGGACTCAATATGCATAGATAATACATGTTCTGTATCCAGCCCTTTTAGGAACACAAGAAAATAGTTGGCAAATCCAGTGGGTATCCTGTTTTGTGCTAATATCAAGGATTCAACAACCTCACACAGTAAAATCATGTTTCGGAGTTGAAAGCGGCACACATGTTCTTTTTAGTCATTTATGATAAAGCAAAAGGATTTGCAAGGGACATAATATTTCCAATAATTGCTTTAAAAATACTGATGTCAGTTTGTGTCAGAACTGAAATTTCTGTTTGGCTTTAAGCTCTTTTAAAAAATCCTTTGCACAATGCAGCATATTTAAAATGCCAGTCTGGAAATGAAAGTTAATATACATTTTATACAGAGCAGAGGAAAGGCGCTTCATTCAGTTTTGTTCACTTAAAAAATTGTAGCCATCTGATGTTCTGAAAGTATCAATACAAATTTGCACAGTTAAAATAGTGTGCTACAGGTAGCACTTAAAATTAGATCAAGTGGCACGGTGAGAACTATTTTTAATCTTACTGCAAAGTCACAGAAACTAAAAGGAAGAAAGGTTTACCCAAAACTTTCAATTTGAGAATGTCAATACCACAGTGTGTACGGAAATTAGAGGAGATACATAACGTTAATTGAGTACTGTAGACTATCTTTGGTCCCTTCACCATATTGAAAAATGAGGGAAACAGATGCAAAAGATTCCTTTCCGTAAGTCAACAATTTGTCTGTGAACTGCTGAAGTTCTGTGAGATTTGCCTCCAGCAGACTTTTTGTATCTGATGTGACAATGTTTATGTAAGGTCCTACAAAATAAAGACTAGACATGGGTAAAGTAGCATGGTCAGCATGGTGGCACAGTGGTTAGCACTGCTGCCTCACAGCACCAGGGACCCAGGCTCGATTCTAGCCTTGGGTGACTGTCTGTGTGGAGTTTGCACGTTCTCCCTGTGACTGCATGGATTTCTGCCAGGTGCTGCAGTTTTTTTCCACAGTCCAAAAATGTGCATGTTAAATGGATTGGCTATGCTAAATTATCCCGAAGGGTCTAGGGATGTGCACGCTATTTGGATTAGCCAAGGTAAATGCAGCGTTACGGGGAAAGGGTGGGTCTGGGTTGCATGCTGTTCAGAGGGTTGATGCAGACTCAACAGGCCAACTGGCCTCTTTCCTCATAGGACAGGTTCTATGATGCTATGAAAGATTCAACAGACATTCATTACAATTCCTAATGTATATATAGTTTCATTTCAGCTTTTGGGTTAATATTATGCTATTTGGTTATAAAGAATAGCATGCTTTCATCAGTATGCCATGTTTCAAGTGGTCGCAATTAAGGTAGATCCGAGACCTTTATACCTTCAGGTCACATGCTTTGACGCCTTGAAAATACCATATCATGAGTTTGTTTCTTTACATTTGCTGCATACTGTGATTCAGAACACAATACCCTGAAACTGTACTATGCAACTCAAACTTCACCCAAAAATAAATGGAGCTTAGATATAAAAGGGACTTTAACTGTATTTCTGTTGTACTTACAATGATAGAACTGGAACTGATCCAAAAAAAAATCCACATAAAGTTTGAAAGAAAATTCAAAACAATATATAAAATGTAAAACCATTATCTTTCCTCGAACAGAAGCGGCAACACACCAATTCACGGTGACTCTCAACACTCACAATGAAACACGCATTAACATAACAGGCCAACTGAAGAGAAGATAATGCATACTGGTAGTTTAAGCATTCAGAATGTCCAAGTTCCTCTGGCAACATATATTTTCTCATTCATGTTTTAGACTGGTTTGTGATTCTAGACATTCCATTTTCCTTCCATCACATGGCTGACCAGGAATCCCTCCAGTTCTTACACTGGCCACCGGCACCTAGTGGATGAATTTATTGGTTGGGAGTCAACCTGTTTCGCTGCTAATGAATATAAATTCCTTGGCCATCAAAGAGCTGGTCCTGAATTCAGAGTTTCTGACTCAGAGGCAAGAACACTAACCATTACGCACAAGGTCTCCTCACTTTAAATCTTATACATCCACCTGTATTAAAATTATTTAAACTATTTCTAAAACATTTGTACCCTTCCATCTCCAAATCCAGCTTTAATGTACAGTAATGAAATGTCAAATTATTGCTTTTACTCAAAATAAATATTGCTGTCTTCAGACTGATTTAAATCTAAACATGGTCAAACAATGATTTTGTTTGTATTAATTTCTTTTTCATATAAATAAAAATGCATGAAAGAGCATGAATGAAACATAGGTGAAAAGTAACTTCAAAGATATTTTAACATCAATATTCTATCATGTTCTATACAGGCAGAAAAAATTCTCAAAGTTGTCAGTGTGAAGAATCAAACTGTAGCATGGACGCTTCTATAAGATCAAAACCAACTTGTGCAAAAGTTAATAAAATTGAATACTAATATTGAAGTTTCTAAGTTATAATTTAAAATGATAGCACGGCAATAAGACAAACATTTTCTTTTGAAATATAACTTTCAATTCAAAGAGTACCTAAAAAATAATTCATGTTCATAAAATTCAGATGCATGTGGAATTAATGAATTGATGATAGATTGGCTAAAAGTATTATGATGTGTATAAATCTGTGCCAGACACTTATCAGAAATAGTGCAGTGAGAAAGCAAAGTTTCAGCACCGACCTCTACCAATTTTGTATTTACCATTTTTATATACTGATAAAGGGTTGAATGACCACAAGGCAAGCAAGACAATAAGTTAATAATATGTTGCAATGTTATAATCACCAGAGTACTGAACAATGTTTACTTGTGATGAACTTCTGGCCTAACAATCTCGGTGGAACTGAGCAGCCTTCATGCGAAACCATTCTGACTGATAAATTCTGTTATGTCTTTAGTCCAAAGTAAACACTCAAGTGTTTTGACGCCATGGGTTCAACCTTGAGGGGATAGTAACTTTAATCTCTGTGCTATAAACAGATTCAGGCTGGATATTTCTTCAATGCGCAGAATGCAAATTGTAAATGTGCTCTTTATAAAATCAGTTTTACAACTGTCACACACAGAACACTGAAGAAATCTTTCCTTTAAATAATTTTCTTGGAAATAAACTTAGAAGTGGAAGAATCTAGGACCAGAGGGCATAATCTCAGAATAAGGGGTTGCATGTTTAAGACAGAGATGAGTAGGAATTTCTTCTCTCTCGGATGGGAGTGAATCTGGGATTCTTTACCATGGAGGCTGTGAAGTTGGGTCATTAAGAATATTCAAGTCTGTGACAGACAGATTTTTAAACAGTAAGGGAATCAAGGGCTATGTGAAAAAGGCAGGAAAGTGAAATTGAGGACTATCAGATCAGTCACAATCTCAGTAAATAGTGGAACAGACTCAGTGGGCTGAATGGCCTATTTCACAGCTACTTCTGGAATGCTGTGCACAATTCTAGTCACCCTGCTATGGGAAGAGTGTTGTTAAACTTGAGAGGATGCAGAAAAGATTTACAAGGATGTTGCTGGGACTGGAAGGTTTGAGTGAGAGGCTGAACAGGCAGGGGTTTCTTCCCCTGGAGCGTTGGAGGCTGAGGGGTGACCTTGTAGAGGTTTATATAATTATGAAGGGCATGGATAGGATCTTTTTCCTAGGGTGGAGACCAAAACTAGAGGGCATAGGTTTAAGGTGGGAGGGGAAAGATTTGAAAAGGATGTGAGGGGTAACTTTTTCATGCAGAGGCTGGTGTATGTATGGAACGAGCTGCCAGAGGAAGCAGGTACAATTACACCATTTAAAAAGCAGCTAGATGGGTATATGAATAGAAAGGGTTTAGAGGGAAATGGATCAAATGCTGGCAAATGGGACTAGGACTGGTTAGGATATCTGGTCGGCACGGATGAGTTGAACCAAAGGGTCTGTTTCTGTGTTGTATGACTCTAACTGAAAGGGAAGATTTCCTGCTCTGTGGATTATTCAGGTTTATTAGATTTCTTGAGCTCAGTGAATAACAGAAAACTGGGGGAAGTTAGTGTGCTGTCTGTAAAGAAACACAACAAATTTTCATTCTAGTATATTAAAATCCTCTGTGACATTACCACAAATATGGACATTTTGATCTCCCTTCATTTTTTCTGTATTTGCTTCACAAAACTTTATAGAACTGTGGACTAAGAAGCATTCTCAGCAATATTACCAGTCCCTATTTCCAGTCCCTATACACTTGCATTTCCCATGCAGATGGCCTAAAGGCTCTCTGCTTCTTCCTGTCCCGCAGGCCCGACCAGTCCCCCTCCACTGACACCCTCATCCACTTAGCTGAACTCGTCCTCACCCTTAACAACTTCTCCTTCAATTCCTCCCGCTTCCTACAGACAAAGGGGGTGGCCATGGGTACCCGCATGGGCCCAAGCTATGCCTGCCTCTTTATAGGATACGTGGAACAATCCCTCTTCCAAAGCTACACTGGCCCTATCCCCCACTTCTTCCTCCGTTACATCGATGACTGTATCGGCGTTGCCTCGTGCTCCCACGAGGAGCTCGAACAGTTCATCCACTTCACTAACACCTTCCACCCCAAACTTCACTAACACCTTCCACCCCAACCTTAAGTTCACCTGGACCATCTCTGTTACCTCTCTCTCCTTCCTGGACCTCTCTGTTTCCATCTCTGGCAACCACCTGGAAACCGATATCAATTTCAAGCTTACCA